ACACTGCCCAAAGCCTGTAGCGTTGCCTGGGGTTGTTGCGGCCCAAGTGCAGGACCTAGCACTTGGCCTTGTTGAAGCCTATGCCATTAACATTAGCCCAAAAATCCAATGTATCAAAGCCTCTCTGTAGAGCCTCCCTGTCCTCATGCAGATCAACACTCCCGCCTAACTTGGTGTCATCTGCAAACTTACTGATAACTTGTCCTTATCAAGATCTTCAGTAAAGATGTTAAACAGAAATGGTCCCAACACTGAGCCCTGAGGAACCCCACTTGTGACTGGCTGCCAGCTGGATTTGACACACAGTGCAGTGTCCTGGTTTGAGCCAGGATGAAGCCCATTTTTCTTTTTACTGATTTTTTTTTCCTTCAGCAAGCTTTCTTGTAACTAGCAGCAGTGTGTTCTGCTAGGCTGATAAGACAGTGGAATGTTTTTCTAACTACTGAAGCTTCAAGGTTGCACCTGCACTCTGCTGGGTCCGACACAATGGGGAGATCTGTGACCCCCCCGTAGGAGGCTGAGTTAGACAGACAGCAAAATTGGCCAAAGATATTCCATTCCATATATCTACGTAAGCTCAGAGGAAGGTCAGAGATCACAGAAGACAACTTCCTTCCTCCTTCTTCTCCCTTCTCTTCGGTCCATGGCCGGTGTCCGGGGAGGACTCTGTTCATCCATCACCGTCGATCCTCAGGCTTGATCTCTCGTGACCCCCATAACTCTCTGCTTTCTCCAGCAGCAGCTCCGGGATTCCTTGGGACTCTTCCCAGTTCAGGGAAGTGCTGTGGGAGTTGCTGGGGTGGGGGGAGGCGAGAGGTTTTTTGCCCATACCTAAATATATCTGTATATAATTGTATATATTTTTTTTGTATCATTCATTAGTGTTTTAATTAAAGCTGTGTAGTTTAGTTTTCAATCCGGCCAAGTCTCTCTCTTTTTCTCTCTCTCCTTCCCTACATGGGTGGGGGGGGGAGGGGATCGAGAGCATTGTTGTCGGACCTGAGTCAAACGGTGACATCATGGGCAAAGACTGCAGTTCTGCTCTGGACAACAATTTTGGTTTTCAACCTGGAAGTTGGTTGAGCAGCCAGCTCTGCAATCCAATTAGCACGGTAACTTCTCCTTCTGGCAATCAACTACACTGGTCCTTAGCAGACCTAATATTTCCTATCCTTCAATGGAAGTAGAAGAAATCAGGAAAATCACTTCCCTAAGATTAATACAATTTAAAAGGATCTTCCTAACCTACCCCGTTTATAAAGCAACAGTTTTGAACGACGGCTGCAGACAAGGATTGCTTCTCTGAATGAAACATCCAGTGAAATTCATTCTATCAGTCAGCAGTTCAAACTCCTTAGATCCAAGAGGCATTTATACACCTGTAGTCTTAAAACTCTGCCTACCTGGCAAGATGTGTTCCATCAAATAAGTATTCCTAGGGTTTTCATAGTTCAAGGACCATAAAGAAGAAAGATGCACTATGCTTTCACCCAAGTCACTTTTCTGACATTCTACTCTGGAGTACATAAGAAAGAATGTACTTACCTTCTGCTAGGCTGTACATCTTCAGAGAACAGGAAAAAAAGTAAGAGAGAAGGAATTAAATAAAGCCCTGTGTGCTCAGAATGGAAGGAAATAAGCTATCTCTTTCTAGGGCTTTTGATTTGTAAGTAGCTTTCTTTATAGTAATTTTGTTTCCTTCTACCTTTACATTACTTTATTCATGGAACAGGGGTTGATGTAAAGACACAGCTCAAATAAGTGACTGTTGAAAAGCAGCTGAAGAAAACGAGGATGAAGGAGACAACCTAGAATGCAGGAAACTACTGTACTACTTTAAAGCATCTGCTTAATCTAGGCTGCTATAAGGAGATGCTAAAAGCCAGCTTCAAGAACATAGCTCATCTACCTGCCAAGATTGGCAAAACAAACAAGCAAAGCTACAGAAAACATCCTTGATTTGCTGTTACTCTTTTTACCTGCACACGTTTTCACCTTCTTACATGTTCTGTACCAAAAACGGGGGTCAATTGCTTTAGGCTGAGGTCCAATAAAACCAGCTGGTCCTACTGTATCGTGCCCAAGCTGTTCAGTTCTTAGAGTGCTCAGAATCAGGGCCAGGCTATAGGATGGGAATCCACTCAACAAGTCTTGAAGAATATATTTGCAAGCACAGCAGGTGGAACGTACATTATTTAATTATGTATCTTTTCAACCAGTACTTCCAACCTGAGTCATTGTCCTCAACATTGCTAATTAACCACTTAAACATTCTCAAATACTTCTCTGTCTTAATTCACAGATTTGTCTACTCATTTGTAGAGTAATTTGTAGAGTAAAAATTTTCAGCCTGTGTAAAGTCTCCCATATCTCCTAACAAAAACCAATGAATTTCCTTCACCATCCTCCTTGCTTGATGCAGAGCAAAGCCAGGGAAGTTGGTGTTCAGATTCTTTAAATATTATTTTTTAAAGTCTACCACTCATTCACATGAAAAAGCGAAAGCAAACACATTAATGAACAATTAAGAAGAGTGAAATTGAATCCACAGACAGTTGATTTTTCTCATGTTTTTGTTTTCTGTTTTGCTTATGATAAAAAGTGTGAAGCATCATTATCTGTTTATCACATTAGGTTTATATTTGAAAAGTCCTGGGGAAAAATATAATTTTATTTAAAACTTCCTCCTGTCCTTCTTAAAAATAAGTCATTACCTAAAAGGTTAAGTCACACTTAAGGTAACTATAAAAGCTCTCAGTCACATACTGAATCAAATATTCAAAATGTTAATTCTGTTATTTCTTGGAGAGAAAACACAGGTAGCAAATTCTCAAGTTGTCATGATAAGAGAAGACTGTCTTTTCAGATAACCAGGCTCTCCAAATTCCAAGCTGTCATAAGAGGATTTTATGTAAACCCACAAAATAGCTTCCAAGTTAAAAGGGAACTGAGGAAATTGCTATTTATTTAAGAAACATCAATCTAAAGAAGCACAAACATGCTTTAAATTCTGTAGCAGGTGCACAAGCTGAGAACTCCACTTGCTGCTCCATAATTATTCTAATTGTAGAAAATTTCTATCTTCTATTCCTTCCTTACAAATGCATGTAAAAGGTATGTGACTTCCACTCCCTGACTTGACACAAGCTCATTGCTTGTCTCACAGACAGGGACTTGGCAAACACTTCTAGGGATGACAAAATGGTTTGGGTTGGAAAGGACCTTAAAGATCAAATAGTTCCAAACGCCCTGCATGGGCAGGGACACCTCCCACTAGATTAGTTTGCTCAAAGTGTTGTCCAATCCATCCTTGAACACTTCTAGGGATGGGGCAGCCATAACTTCTCTGTTCTTCATACGTATATGAATGGGCAGACTTGCACTCAGACAGAAGAGTGACATTTCCTGTATTGATGTGTTAAAAATACACCAACTAGGGCTAAAGAAAAAAAACAACAGGATTTATAAAAGAAAGCTGCATTTACGATGCAAATTTTTCAAAGCAGAGTGTCTTAATATAGGAAATTTACATCATTTTTTATATCCTTATTTTTATCATGTTCTCTGACAGATGTGCCTTAATGGTAATACTGGTCCTTCTTTTTATGTCTCATACTTCTTTATAACAACTATGAGAAGTGATGGTAATCTGTTCTCCTTGCTCCCCAAGAGAAGAGCTGCCTGAGCACCTTCCTCCAGCCCTCATTAGACAGTATCTTTCCAGACAGGTGCTCCCCTTCTATGCTAATATACCAAGCTGCTCACAGGATATTAAAATTGAATGGCAGTTCTTTTCAGCTTATGCCAAATTACCTTCTGGCACCTAATACAGTGTAGCTCTTGATTACATACCTGCATGAAGATCTTTGCTCAGTAAAACAAAGCAAGAGATAAAAATACATAGGCATTTGCTAGGATTTCCTGACTTACACACTTTTACTTAGGTAAAGGAGCATCTTGCTGAGGAGTTATTTGTACTTCTCTTATTTAGGCCAAACCACTAACACTAAAGAGAATCTTGGCACCTTGTATTAGGCAGCATAATAGGTAACTGAACTAGCACATATTTGCTGAGCCACTTCCATCACTGCATTTTACCCTGGATCTGCAATAAGTTAGGAAGAATCTACTTTTAGACACCTTTTTGTTTTTTAAATTAGTATCATTCGCATGCAAAGTTATCTGTCATTATCTTTAATAACAGCTGCCCAAAGCTGCTTATGATGAAATATGGATTATATTATTACTCCAGATAATATTACTTTAAGCAGAAGATCAGTAAGTATGTACACTTAATGCTATATCCTGTTATGCTAGCAGTTAGCATGCATTTGATGAAGGATGAAGCTATGACAAAGGATTCCTTTCAAGACAGGTAGCAAAAATGAATTTATTTTTCCACCACTAGGCTGTGGTAGACAATTGGTAGATAAAATACATACACTTAAAGAAATAAGAAGTAACTTTCTATCTTTCCTCGATTAGATGCAACTAATCAGGCCCTGGAAAAGGAATGGAAAAAATTAAATCTATATCATACACTCCAGCATATTAATGCAAAATTGCAGCTGACCACAGTCCTCAACTTCCAAGAGGCAAAAATCTTACCTTTTTAACTGTCACACCATCCTTTGGAGTTTGCTTTGTTGACAGATTGTACCCAATCATCTGTTTAGCAAGCTGTTCAACAATCTTAGGGCTGCAATGGAAAAAGGTTAGTTTACTGTAAGATATGAAAATAAACAACCAGATAGCTGCTGTAAACAGATTAAATATTACAAGAGAAGCCATTTATTTATGCTTTTTCAATTTTCAAGACTTACTCCTTAGTTAGATGAACTCCTCCTTTCAATCCACTATTGAAAACACCTTTCCCTCTCCCTCCAGCCAAAATCTGTGCCTTCAGAACAATCTCCTTTGCCTCTGTGAAAGAAAACAACATTGCTATTCTGTCATTGATCAAGCTTGTTAGTGTAAGTTTGAAATTAATTTCTGAGTTAAACCCTTTAGAAAAGCAATAAGAATTTGTTCTTAACTAGTGAGCAACAAAACAAGAGTCAATTCAGCATTTTTATAAATGAAAAAAAAAATTGTTCTTGGAACTCAAGGATAAATTCACATTACTTATTTTTTAGATAATTATGTTGTTACTTAACTCAAAAGCATGATATTAATGCTCCATGGCCTGCACAACAAGTCATACAATGAGCATGCAGTTTGACAGCTTACACTCTGGCACAGTTTTTAAAACATGAATCAGATCATATTTTGTCTTGAATGCTCAGCAAACAAAGGCTCATTGAGGAGATAAATTCCATTCCTTGCTCTGAACAAGTGTAAGCAAAGCTATGAATGTGGTCCTAGAAGAAATCTCTGTCTCCAAAGGGAAGGTAAATGTAGCCCAAGGGCATTAGCTGTGAAAACATGTTCATCTGGTTGTGAGGCATCACTTGAGTCTTGGACATAATGAGGGCAACAATATCTTAGTAACAAGAAAGTGCAGCAAGACACAGTGACAAAAGTAATTGCACCAAGACTTACCTTTCCAACAGAAGCAATCCTGACACAGAGTAAAAAAAGGGGGGGAAGAGAAAAAAACCAAACCAGAACAAAAAAACAAAACAAAACCAAAAAAACACAACAAACCCAACCAACCCAGAACATCACTCATGATCTCTACAGCTCCATGGAGCATAACAGCTTCTTGAAGCTTCTTCAGACCTGCCAGGTGCCTGTAAGATGGTTATTAATACTTAATACTGTCATTTTGTACATTTATCACAATTCTGCAAGGTATTTTGCAAAGTCTGAGATCCTAATATTAACATATCATTAAGCTGTGCCTAGAAAAGGCTAACATTACTATCCTTTTGTGATTGAGTCAATTCCCTCTGAAGTCTGTGGAAATATTTGATTTCAGTGATGTTTGGATTAGGTCACACCTCAAATCACAATATTCTATGCAAGTATGCAAGATAACCTGAGTATTTGTTGTTAAATTGAGATTCACTGTGTAAGTGGCAGAGAGGAAGTGGATTCTTTCATTCAAACAAACGCAGGCTTTCTAGCTTGTACTACATAAAGATATTTAACTGGTTATTAAGTCCAAGGCTGGAGGTGAGGCAACATGTGGTGCAGACCAGCCCTGACACAGCATCATTTCAAAGTTCCAGTATAAGAAATTTCAGTGACTAGAGAAAAAGTTGGATCTTAGGGTAAGATAAATACAATGAAATAAATATTCTATTTCCTGCATTAAGACAGAAAGGCATTTTCAATATAGCTATTGGCAGTCCTGTGTTAAGAGATGCCTCATTCCCAAGCTTCTCAACACAAAATCTTTCCCCGTGTTTATCCACTCAGTAACCTTTGACATGCACCATTCTGAGCCTTAGAAACAGTCTCCTTGAAAATACTTCATGCATGTTCTGGGCTCCCTATTCATACCACTGCAAGGCAGATAAGAAGGAAATTTAAATGCAACAAAAAGTTTTATATCAAGTGTTTCCTAAGCACAGAAATTATTAAGATGAATTAAAACTATAAATCACTTTCCAACCCGCAGCAGCAGACTCTAAAAATCACAATAGCTGCTGTGATAAAGAATCTAATCTAGTATTGTTAATAGATGCCTCAAGCATCTATTAGATCAGTTTTAGGTGTCAACCATACTGACAATGTGAGTTTTGATTGTCAGTGATGTGTGTTATCAATAACATGAGTGATCATTAACCTCTCTCCTAACCAGCACACTACACAAGAGCTGATTATCTTCACTTGGCTGCAAAAAATGAAGTCAGAGCAAGGAATTAATGTGCACATTTTTATAACCCACCAGAGGACTGTCAAGGCAATAGAGTAAAACAGAAATTCAGAAAAACCACTATCAAAAACTTAAACAAACACACTAGAAAATAAGCATAACCATGTAAAGATTATCCTGAAGAACTAATCAATACAGCAGCTCAGCAGAGCACAGCACAGCAGGTTCTTCTTGCCCTGGGGGAAACCAACGGGAAACAATTTCATTCAATAGTTATTTGCTCAAGCCTTGTAAAATGAAGTAAACCAGCCAGATCTTATTTTACAGTAACTAAACTTGATCATTCAGCACTTTTGAAGTTGATTCACTACTTACATCACTATTTTATTTAAAGAGTTGATTTCTAGAAATGCTTATGCTATGCTGTCTCCTCCCTGAATTCCCAGGTTACATTATGAGAGACTATCCCAAAGAAAAATGTGGTTTTAGCTGGAATATATGAAGTAATTCACCTTCCCTTGTCAGATCTAATAACAAATAAATAAATAATCTAAAAAGCAGTATGCAAAGTCAGTATTAAACCCCTTAAAAACAAAAAGCTGTAATTAGTTTCTGTTAGCACCCTTCCAAACTGCTGTAGCAACATGGGAAAATGGGTTGTGTAATCATAAATACTGGATTTGAGGAGAACCCAACACAAGCAACATGTCTTCACAGCACAATGCAGTGTACTGCAACGTTTCCAACTGCACTCTGCTGGGTAATTAAGGCTTCAATGAACTTCTGTTTATGTCCCTTGACTGACAAGCCTTCGTGTAAATAAAAAAAACTAAACCCAAATCCAAAAGCCAAACCCAGAAAAGAAACAGCCTGCTTCTTAAGTGGGCATAGATTTTTTGGTGACAGATGTAAAATTTTCTTTATCATTCAAAACAATAACAAGAATTTTAAAAAGACTGCTTGTAAGTGTCATTAATTTAGCAGCAAACAGCCACAAACTGCTAGATGCAGATTAACGATGCGTTTCTGGTAACAGCATGTGTTCTTAGCTAATTATAACTTGAATACATTAATATCTCAGACCAAACAGTTTATTCTCTGGATCTCATATTTGTCTTTTTTACACTAATCTACAGAAGAAGAGACACAAATATTTTTAAAGAGTCTTTTTTAAAAAATGGAGCAAATTCCTAAGTCAGATGCCAATAAACAAGCTAGACCTTTATTCCTCAGAAAAGTCCTTGGAGTTTAAAATTTCACAACTGTAGTTGGGTTTAACCACATTTCTTTAAAAAAATATAAAAAAAATCTAAGCACATAGGGAAAAATAGAACTGAAGTACTGTTCTTTTAAATACATTCAGATGTTTTGGCAGAAAACAATAGAACACTCTGAGGGACACGCATCCTCTACATTGCATTCAAGGTTTCATCTCTTTCCTTTCAGCCAGTGCTGTAAATACAAAAGGTAGTGAAGCTCCTTGCAATTGCAATAGGGTCAGTTTTATAATGAAAGCCTATTTAAAATCAATAAATTCAGTCCTGCTTTTGGAAGCTATGATTACTTTGGTCCACTGGTATTGCTTGCAGCAAAAATGAACAGCTTGTTCTCAGCCCACTGCTGTGTATATTTAACTACTGAATTCTTGATCATGAAACAATATATACTGAGAACCATAGTGCTGCTGGTTATATGGCATGTTAATTTATTACCTGTGAACAACTTTCCATTATTATTGATACGACTGTGTGATTGCAAATTAGGCGTGTTAACAATTACATTAAAATGTGATGTAGCTTTTCAAAAATAAACTACTGTAAAGAACAGACTTAAGACAGCATGGTAAAGGGCCTCACTGTTGCCTGCTTCTGAACAAAGGATTTTCTATCAGAGAGTACTCAGGACTCCTCTGGCAAGGCATCCTACTCTACAGAATTAGAGCACAGGACTGAAAGGGAGGAGGTCTCACACAAAATCTTAATCACATTTCAGTTTCACCACGTGACTTTCAGCAGTTCTGCTTCTCACAGGGGCTCTATGAAAATTAATTAGTGTCTGGATCTCCTTTAAAAATGTAGAACCTGACTCAGTATTACATTATTGTGCTTTTACCCCAGTGTAGGGCATTGATTGCGGACAGGCTAGCCCCAGACCCTGGCAGCACCAGAAGTACTGCAGCAGCAGCAAAGTGTCACTGGAAGATGCACTGATCTGTCCTGGAACAGGCTTAGCACACATTGCAGCAGAGATGGAAGTGGCCCAGTGTCATGAGAGCAGGGCAATCAAGACAAACTGAGGACATGCCAAATCAACATCTTCCAGAAACATTGCCTCCTTACTGACCCAAACGTGAGATAAACAGAGTCTCTAAACACAGGAGAGCTGTTTCCTCAAAAGCTGCAGCTTTAACCAGACTCCTCCATCCTGCAGCAGGCACAGGACCCAGCCCAGCTAGGCAGATATTAACTAGTTTCAGCAACTCAGCTAGTCACTTTTCTTTACCTAAAGTCATTAAGCTGTGCTTAATAAGTGGAGTTTTTTGAGCATATCCTCCCCAAACTCCTGGAAGAGCTAGATGGGATACATGAATCTGCTACCAGCTCCAAACTCTCCACCTCTCCAAAGAGGCAGAGCCCTTCTGAGAACTCCAGGGATGCAGCATCTGAGACAGTTCCCACGCTCTGCCAAGTAAGCAGATTGAGATGGGAAAAAGTAGTTTTCAAGAAGATGATACCTCCCACACCTACAAACTATTGGTGTGCTTAAAGGTCTTCAGAATGAAGTTAAACAATTGATTCCACCTCCCATTAATTTTAATTTAAGTCCTCTTTCTCTGTTATTTTCATTCTTCTGCTCTGTAACACCAAGAAGAATTGTATTTTACATGCCTAGCTTCTACAAACTTTGGTTCTCAGACTAGTTTAGGATTACAGTTAAATAAATCATCCTTTTTAGAACTCCATGCTTTTGAACTTATTGTATATTTATTGCTAGATTATAAGCATCATTAAAATCTATAATGATAAATAAGTCCGTCTCTTGATTCTGTCACTACTGTTATTAATTGCTTTCATAACCACTACTACACAATTCACCAATGATAAAAAATTTAGAGCTAGATAAAATCAGCTAAGCTAAAGCTCACTCTTAATATTGTACT